CGCATTAGCTTTAGATGGCTCCAGGAGCAATTCGTGAATAGGCAGTTCGAATGAATCAATGTTGACACTACCCTCCAAGCTGCAGACATCTTGACCAAGGCGTTTGACAGCACCCCAGTGTGGCACCATGCACTTGAGCTGATCGGTATCTCCCCCAATCGCCAGGCGCGAGCCTGTGCCACCAGTTTGCTGCTCTCCCCATGCGCCAAGGCCGGAGAAGTTAGTGATCAGGGGGGGCAGATCGCTGCGTTATGCAACGTTCAGCCCAAGCGCCTCCTTATTGAATTCTGTTGTTCGACGACCTCACGGTTGGGCGAATCAAGAGACTCTTCAAAAGGTTGTCGTGTCATTCGGGTAACTGAAACCGAAGACGGGTGCTCTGATACGTGCAGGCAGTGGTTAGTCCATGAAATTGCCGAATTTAGGAGCAAGAATCCTAAGGGTGCAATAATGTTCTATGTTTCGTTGCCATGCACTGGAGGATGCCCGTGGGGTTATGTCAACCAGCAAACTCCCAAAGGTGCTGCCAAGATTGAGGGTCACATCAATCAATTCCGATCACTGTTGAGAGGGTTCAAACGCATTCTCAATGATGTCTATTCCGATGACGTTAGAGTTGCCTTTGAACTTCCCAAGGCGTGTCGTTATTGGAAATGGCCCGAACTATGGAGTTTCTTGACTAAGTACAAGATGAACAAGTATGAATTCCATGGTTGCAAAATCGGCATTAAAGGGAGAAATGGAAAACCTATGAAAAAGCAGTGGGTTGTTGCCAGTAATATGCCCACTATTTCCGTGGTTGAGTACTTCAAGTGTGATGGTTCTCACGAGCATGATGAAAGCCGTGGCACGCATTTGAAGGAAGCCGAGGGATACACGTACGTTTACACTGATGCCGTTCACAATGCATTTTCCGAACATGCCACCATGCAGCCGTTGCTTTCGAGTGATTGTGCTGCATCCTTTTCGCAATGAGCAGCGCGACGGCTATGGCGCATCCCGCGAGGGATTGCGATCCGGCATGGAGGAGGTGGATGGAGAATGTCGCTACCACATCGGTATGCACGAACGGCAAATACGACGCTAACCTCGCCGCCACGGTCAAGGGCCTCCTCGAGACGACCTCTGCACAGTCGCTTATTCATACATGGGTGCAGGACCAACCGCACTACCTGCAATTGCTTACACCCCTGTTAACTATAAGCGAACCGTACTTGAAGGTTTTGCAGGCCCCACGTGTACCAGATCGCGACCTCCTTATCTATGTGACTGTCGCTGATTCAGGACTGTCCATGGTTTCGGGCAAGAAGCGCAAGCTTCGCAAGTACGACTTTGCGGAGCGTTTGGATGCCTCTCGCCCGGCGCGTGTCGGTGCATGGAGGTCAGAAATGCTTTGGGGCAAGGGCTTACAGCAGCCGTGCAAGCGGTTGGCCGCCCTCATCGACGAGGTGCGTACCGACCACCCAGCTGCTACCATCATTCCAATGATTTACTGGAATGGCAACGAGCTCGTCGGCAAGGACGGCCTCGAGCCCACTGGTACATATCCTTATGATACCCCCACTGGCGACGCCGAGCAACTTCTTGCTGACTCCAAACGGCACCTGGCTTGGACCAGGGACTTCGCGGCCCGCAAGGGCTGCGCATGCCTTGGAGTCATGACCGGCGCGAAAAGCTATCTCTACGGCTTTTCTATGATTTGGGACCGTTTCATGACGGAAGTCCGGGATTACATCATCGGCGACCCCAATCAAATGTTTGTGTACGTAGATGCTACACCCTTTGTCGAGACCATCGATTTGCTGGACAGGTATCATATGTGCTTCAGTGACGACAACATCACGAAGACCGTCCAGTTCATGCGCGGAACCCATCACATGTTGTATATGCTTTCCATCTTGCGCCCCGCAATGGGCAGCGTAGCCGAGCTGACTCGTTCGCATGATTGCACAACGCGTCCGATCGATGTGCTCGAGGTGCGCCACCAAGAGGATTGCACAGTCAACGTTGAGGTTCTCGCGTACTGCAAGGAAACGCTAACGAAGTGCGGTGTCTCTTTGTCAGAGATGATCGGGCTCCCTTTCACCCGTGAAGAAGTGGAGGTCCGGCAGCCCCTCGATTTCGCCCCCGTCAACCCAGCCGAGTTTGCAACTTCAGGTGAGCCTTCCGGTGCAGATGTTTCCGAAAGTGTTCGCCCGGCGCAAGCCGGTGCAAAGGCGGCTGCGGTGGCACAAAGGGACGAGGCGGCAAGCAGACCGGTACCACTCGACTCCTACGGGAGGAACGTGACTGGAGGCCACTACGACTGCTGGGTGTATAGCATTCATGATGGCGTGAAGTATGTCGACTACGGTGAGGGCCCCAAGAGACTCGACATCATCAAGCAGCCCTCTTTTGATTACGACCCTTCTGTCAGGAGAATCAGCAATGAGTACCACAGTTCCCTGACGTGCATCTCCAAGATCCTCCGTGGTCGCGGAACAGAAGGATGCGGGTACGTGATGGATGAGGACGGCTACATGGACCTCGAAGACCTGGGACTCGCGCTTCGCAAGGAGCTGCGACATCCCATTCCATGGAATATTCAGAATATCATGGACATCTTCAAGCTGGACAAAAAGCAGAGGTTCATTGCGCTTGGTTGCCCGGACGCAGGCCGGTGCGGAGACGTCCCATGTTCGCATTGGCTTTTCAAGATAAAGGCCTCTCAGGGACATGAGGACTGGCTCCAAATCGACGACTCCGGCATCGCGAAGGAGTGGTACGTGAACCCGGGGACTGACCTCGGGCGCTGGTCTGGCTGGAACGTCTGCAGCAACCCCCCTACGGTGCTCTATCATCGCACCGATAAGCGGAACTTCGCCAGCATTATGCGAAACGGACTGCTTCCAGGAGGAGGGGACCAGCACGAGACAGGCAGACCTCACGTTTTCTTCGCTGACATTCCGAGCACGAATGAAAATTACATCTCAGGTGTACGTGCTAACAAGCCCTTGGAGATACAGATCGACCTCAGGATGGCCATTCGCGCAGGGCTTTGCTTTTTCAAGACTGAGAGCGACGGCGTCCTTACGCGCGACAAGGTGCCCAATTACACGATTATTTCGGTATTGGACGCTACAAATGGCGATGTATGGTACACTCGCTCCGAGCAATCGGATGCAGGTGCACCAGCTGAGGCGAATGAGGATGAATCGCAGGGGATGAAGCGCGAGCAAGCCGTGGTTGATGATCGATCTACAGCGCTGGAACGTATTGCTACAACCCGCACCAATGTGGCGTCTCCTCGCGCCCCGCAAGGGGAAGCGAAGAGACAGAAGACTTTCAACCCAATGGAGAACGTTGACATGAATGTCGCCGCGTGCCCGGTCTGCAACAACAGTGTGTTCGAGGGGCAGGTCCATTGCTCGTCATGTGGGCAGTTGTCTCCCCTCAATCCTCGGCTGCTGAAAGAACAGCAGAGGAATTACATTGTGCAGCGTTCCAATTTGCTGAAGAAGATGGGCCTCAGCACCCATGTCACAGCCCAGGTTTTGGCATCCGTGGGATCTTTTGACCCCCGCGAGGAGGATCGTAGCAGCATCATTCGTGGCTTGAACTCCCCGGACAGTGCTGTTATTCAGGAAGCCCGGAAGAAGCACAAGTCCGCTCTGAAGAGCGGCTACCACTCTCTGCTTGATCGCTATGAACTCGACCTCCAATACAGGGTTCGTATGCTTGAGGTGGGCCGTCGGGAGGCGGATATGCTCCGCATGGAGTTGTGTGCAAATCTCGTCTTGGCTGCTCCAAAGCAGTCGCAAGCCCAGCGCACTCTGGGAGTTGGCCTTGGATCAACTTCGGAGTCGCGAATCGCAAGGCTCGCGTATGTCAAGACGGAGTTGGAGTTCCTGCCCAGCGAACTTCAAGATGCGCTTTCCTCTCGCTGGATCATTATGTTCCAAGGGATGCCTTACAGCCCAAGGGCTTTTATCAACGTGGTCTTTGAACAAGACAAGCCTCGCAGCATTGGTTGTTGGAATGGCATCATCCATTTGCGAAGCAACACGTTGGAGGACCTCCGCAACGAGATGGACTGGATTTTCAGCCAGAATGAGCGTTACGCTCGTAACTCGATTGAATTTTCGAGGAACGAGAGCAGCAAGCACCTCGCTCGCAACGCCGCTCGCTATGCCGACACACGTGCTCCCGCCGCCCGCGAGGGTGAGCATTGGAGCCAAGGCAGCTGGCAGAACTGGTCCGGATGGAGCGGATGGGACAACAGTAGCGGAAACTACTCTACGTGGCAGTGGCGCTAAAAGCGCAACTGTCATGGTTTGCATGTGTCAATGGTTCCCCTGACCTTCTCCCTCTGTTGTGTTACTGTTTGGCTGCTTTGTGAAAGGCCCCTTTAACACGCAGAGGGGGGTGAAGAATTTGATCGGTCAGTATGGGGTTTTACATCCATTGCATCCGCAGTGTGGCTGTTCAAGCGTAAAATGTGCGAGCAGCGCACTTGGACGGTTTGTTGTTTCCTTTTGGGCCCCAAACCGGTAACCCTTGAATCTATAGAAATCACTGCGCTTTTCGGCAACGTGATGCACAGGGCTGAGTTGCCCACATGTTATTTGATGTGGCTTTCCATGTTCAGCTGATTCAGTCAAGGCGCAAAACGTGCCTGACATTGAGTTGATGTTCCCTGTTTCTCCATGAACCGAGGGTCCACCAAACAGGCACAGTCTGGCACCAGGGCTTTTGGCTTACAGGCCAACGGGTGGCGAATATGGGGGGGATGTTTGCGGACACGGCATTGCCTCGCTCGGTCTACATTTCGGAAACGCCTTGCCCGTGTCAGAGGAAAGTCGCTCAAATACAAGAGTACACCAGTTTTGTTCAGGGCCAGCCTTGTCCTTTCTGGATTGGTTGGCTTCAAATAGTCGCCTCACCAGCAAGGACCTTGGGACTGTTTCCCTTGTTCGAACCAGGTCACAGGTGCAGTTTCTCTCCGCAGCGAATCCGAAGCCATGCTTTGGGCGCTTGGCTTTCTGGCGGCTGCGGATGGCTCGCCATGGCAGACTGTTGCGGGCACAGGCGCGGGCATGGGCGCAGATGGGGCCTTTGGATTTGTTTTTTGTTGTTCTCTTTCTTTTTCCTTTTGTATTTTCCGAGGCTGGTTGTTTGTTTACTAGGGGTTAATTGGGGTGTCTTGTAGTCAGAGCTGACCCCCAACCTGAACAGGTTGGTTGGCTGCTTGCTTGGTTGGTTGGTTGGTTTGTGGATTTGTTGGTTGGTTGGTTGGTTGGTTGGTTGGCTGGCTGGCTGGCTGGCTGGCTGGCTGGCTGGCTGGCTGGCTGGCTGGCTGGTTGGTTGGTTGGTTGGTTGGTTGGTTGGCTTGCTTTGGGTGGATATGTGGTTGGCTTGGAGCTGATTTGTGTTGGGTTTGCTGCTGGTCAAAGGGTTGCTTTAGGGGTTTGGTCTCGTTTAGGATTGGTTTTGGAGCGTTGCCCCAAACCACCAAAACTAGCCCACGACTCACGCAACCACATTCCTAAAGCAACGCTAAAGGCACCGCTTAATCAGCAGCACACCCAGCACAAATCAGCTCCAAGCCAATCCACCCAAATTCAACCCTAAACCCGCCCAACAGCAGCCTGGAAGCCCTTCGCCTTAACCCCCCCGCCCCTTGCGAAAACCAGCCCCCAGCAACTCCCAACTGCCTGACAATACCCCAGGCCAAGTGAGGGGGGAAGTTGCCAGCCCTGCGGAAAACCAGCCCTAGGGCAGGAAAAACACCTCTACTACCTGAAAGCCTTGTTTGCCCCAAAAACCAAGGGGCTCCCTTTTAGGAAATCACCCACCAAGCGAGGATAAGTCATTCCTGTTGCAGCAATGATGTTCCTGCAGGGTCGAGTTAGATTTGTTTTCGTTTTACATCATGGGAAGGGACTGTGGGCGGCATGATCATGGATGCAACCAACTATTCCACAATTGCCGGAGTTTCGACCGTAGGACATGTGTCTTGTTGAGGCTTCCAGTTTTGGTTCCCACTCCAGACGCCAAAGCAGGTTTGCGGGTTAGCCAAACAATTGGTAACCTAGTTCCAATGCTCTACAAGGCGATTGACTGGGGGTGCTCATGGGAGCTAGTTGACTCCTGAATGTCAGGTATATCTTATTTATTTTTCAATGCGTTTTTTTCGTTGACTCCTGAATCTCGGGTACGGTATATCTCTTTTTTTTGAGGGTACCCAATTTTAGGGTTGTTTTCGAGTAGAGCCCCGTTTTTCGGGGTTCCAGCATGAGACACCCCAAGGTGCGGAACGTCCGGTTTCCAGGCCGGAGCGGCTTCGGCGGGGCCAGCTATCACAGCCTCGTCCAGGTGAGGTTTCTGCCAGTCGCGCGTCGCGTGTTTTGCCGGGGGAGGAGCTTGCGCCTTTTGCCTGTGTAGATTTGAACGAATCTCAGGCCATACAAGGACACATGTATATATATATATATATATGTCTGTGTATGTATGTGTATGTATGTATGTGGTATTGTGTGTGGGTTAAATTGGGAGCAACTTGTTTCCTGTTTACCTGAAGTGATGAACCTGTGTCTGCAGTGTCGCGCTGTTGTTTTCTGATGTCAGGCAATGCATCCACATGAACAGGCACAAGGCCTGGATGTAGAAGGGCAGAGGTGATGTGGTACATGTGCTGTAGATCGGTGTATCTATTTTAACACCCCTCTTCGGCTTGTGCAAGGGTTGCACCGGCCGAACTTTGCATGCTGTGTTTGAAATCCTTGTAGGGGAGGATGACGTAAGCAAGAGTACCAGACCTGGCTGTACATCTATTTCCTTCGTATGCGGATAATGCATCAGTCCTCGTGTGGCGTTTCCGTGTCTGCTTGAGCTCCGCCGTATCATCGCTGCCACGCTATGTGTTGAGCTTGGCCATGTGTTCCCCGAAGTGTTGCATGTTTGACAAGACGTTCTGACCGTGTCCGGATGTCCTCTCAGCAAGATCTCGTCCAAGAAGGTGTTTGTTTCCTTAACCCTGACACAGGCCTCAAGTGGAAAGCGCATGGGATAGGCACGACATCCCCCGGCCGACTGATAGACTGAAGGGGAGCATAGACGTGTCTTCTGGTTTGAGTTTGGTTAGATATTGATTGGATTGTGACTGTTTTCAGTTTGGTTCTGATCATTTTCCAGTGCCATGCCCATTTTTCACGTACCTGTGAGACCAACCACTCCCAAAAAAGGGTCCCCTACGTTTGTTCGGAGATGTGCGTGAGGTCGGGATGGATCGGTGGTCAATGTGTCCGCGTGTTTGGCACGCAGATATGGATGTGTCCTTCAAAGATATGGTTCTCCAAAATAGCGGACCCCCCCCAACTTTGAAGAGAAACAAAATCTGGGAAGCCAAGTGTTTGTTATGTTTTGTCCTACTCTCCAGCAAAAGGAAACCAACAGGTACCCCTCGATTGGTTGTTTGGATTGATTGAGAAATTAAAAAAAAAAATGGTTCTTGTAGAGGCTTACCCAACCTCCAAACCACCTCAATATCCAACCATCCGTGAGGAAAGCTGAAGTTTGGGAAGCCAAGCAAACCAAAGAAGGGGTTTATCCAACCACTTCTGTGATACTTCTGGGAATCTCCTCCTTCATATGGGGGAGGGGGGGGGGGATTAGTCTTTGGGAAGCCCTTTGTATCACAGAAGTGCTCTGTTGCCCAGTGGCACTCTTTTTGCCTTTTTTTGGAGGGTTTTGGGTTCCCCTTTGCAGGCAACCAAGCCAAAAACGGATGCATTGGATGTTTTTTTTCCCCATGGCCACTGGGCATCTGATGTGGATCACCGATGCAACAGCAAAGCAGCGAATGACTCAGCTTCCGTCCTTTTCCAAAAAAGGCACCTTGATCAAGCTGTCCAGATGGTTTAGCTGGAACCAAGTGTGTGATGAAGTGATGGTTAAAAGGCCACTCGGCACAGCAGTGTCGTCCATTCCCAGACCTTCGGCGTTGAGACGCGGCTCAGCTCGCCCTGGGGCCTCGCCTTGGGCGGCGGCCGGCTCTACATCGCCGCGCCTTTGGCCGGCGAGGGGCGAGGGCTCGGATTCTTCCCCATATGTTTTTTGTGTTGTGTGTTTTGCCTTTTCTGGGGTCCCCGTTGTTTTCCACTAACCAGGCAAATATATATATATATATGTATTAAACCACATTTTTTTGCTGGGGTCCTAGTTCCAGCCAAGGTTTCAGGGACTTCGTTGTGCATGTTCAGTTGATGCGCGTTTTCAACTGTGGATGGACAAAATCCATTTCGCACCACTTGGAAACCATCGGAAACCATTGTTTGTTGGTATTTACAGGGGAGTCATCATTCCGATGGTTTCTCAAGTGGTTCAGGACTTCGTCCATCCACAGTATGACCACTTTGTCACTTAGGGGATTCCGCTGATGAGATTGCCCCAAAAACTAGGTGCAGCTGTCCCCAACTCTGCACCCCCGAAACACACGCAAGTGTACGCCCTCATTGGTGTGGGAAGGTGGTTGAAGGCATTTTGAAGATGTCTTGGTTTGTGCCTCAAAGCGTTTGTCCGGGCATTAACAATTAATTTCCTTACTTAACTCCAATAATGGCGGGAGGGACCTGCATCGTTGTGTGCTTGTTTGGTGTTGGAAGGTACGGTGACGACTTTTAATTCCAGAAGGGCCCATCATTAGGGTTAAAAAAAAAAGGGATTCAGTAGTTTTTTTGGTTTTTGACAAACAAGGATTTACTAGTTGTTAGGGTATGTTTCCTTGGCACTTTTCCAACAAAACACAAAAACTCGAGAAAACCAAACAAACAAAATGTCAGACCCTAACTCAGCCAGCATGGATACATAGGGTATATTTTTTTGTTTTTTGTTTTCTCGAGGTTTCTTGCACTTTTCCAAAAACACACCTCAAGAAAACAAAAAAAAACAAGAAAACAAGAACAATGTCAGACCCTAACTCAGCCAGCATAGATACATAGGGTCTACAATTGTTTTTTTTTTTGTTTTTTGGTTTTCTTTAGGTTGTTTGTTTTCCAACAAAAAGCGAGAACACCAAACAATACAAGCAAACAAAGACGTGTCAGACCCTAACTCAGCCAGCATGGATACATACAGTGTGAAATTGGGTCTGAAATTGTGTTTTTTGGTGTTTGGGGTTTCTCGAGGTTTGCTTGGTAAGAAGAAACAAATAGCCGCAAGAAGGACACATTTGCCATCGCGGCCTGGGCATTTCACTTTCTAAATGCAATCGAGCTCTATTCAAATGAACTGAAAGAAACAGCCAGCTTGTCGTTCCTTACCATATTATCCAAATTATGGCTAAAATTGTATTGCAGTCCTAGATACTTGGAAAGGATATCCCAGCTAAATTCTGATTCAAAACAGCAGCGAATCAGATAGAAGAAGCTACCAGCTTGTCTCTACATACTAAGTTCTAGCTATACACATGTCAAATACAGATCATATTTGAAATTCCCATTCAGAGTTGGATGGAATTCCTGTTTACAAGATACTTAATAATAAAACAAATATCACACTGGATAAGACCCCATTACAAATCTAAAATTAACAGTTAAAGTCAAGGCGCCCATTAACTTCTAGTTGGAACGCTTCTTGGAAGGAAAGTGCTGACTAAAATCTAGTTCAAGAAAAAGTGAAGTCTGATCCAAATCCATTTTGAATGTAAGTAAAGCCTCGCAATGTAAACCTTACAAATAAATTGTAAGGAACTCAGTTTTCCCATTGGTTTTCCACTCTTTTCAGAGGTTGCGTTGCAGATTAGAAGGAACAACAAGCTTCTCTTTCCTTATTAGATTCCCAACTAAAATCTTACTCGGGAAGGGACACCTATTTACATTCTAATTCAACATACGATGTTAACTCGAAGGCTAATCGAGATATGATTCAACCTATAGCGGTGCAATCTAAAACTTGTAAACCAACAGAACTGAAATTGCCTTTCCTTTGAGTTTCTATTGGTTTGTCTCTCCTTTTAAGGGGCAAGCAATTCAGAGAAGAAAAAAACACACACCAAGAAACAAAAAACAAAAACGACCAACTTGTCTTTCCACATAGGTTTCTATTAAATTCTATATCAGTTCTGATGCTAAACACTGCAACAGGAATGACAAGAAAGATGCTAAGATAATTGCAGCTACACTGGTAATAGACAAGACACTTTTGGCGACTGGCCTTTTCTTCAACACTGTCTGATAGAGTAAGCTTGCAACTGATAAGCAATTCTGGGCCAATTTTCAAGGTCCAATTGTCTGATGAAGCCTGCTTGAAAAAGACAAGCAATTTTGGGCACAACAGCCAAGGTCCCTAGCACTAAAAGTGCATAGCCCGCATACTATTGAATCTCAATCTGCCTCACTGCGCGTAATTCTCACTTGCGGGGTTGAAATTGGTGCATTTTGTGGGCTCAAGGTAGTGTAAGACATCTGTTTAAATCAGATATTTAAAGTGGTTGGCCGGGCCACCCTCACGGGCCCTGGAGGTAGTATGAAATATTAATTAGATATTTAAATGGCAACACCGAGACAGACCCCTTCCCCGTAAACACAAGACGTAACACAATTCAAGCCCTTGCTAAGCTGCGTTGCCATTGCGCTAGCTCCTGCCAAGCCAGGTCGGGTTGCACCACACAGGTCCAGCCTAAGGCGCCATGCCGTGTTGCATTTTGGCTCAAGGCCTGGTCTTATCACTCTTCTTCTGTGGTCTGATTACTGCGATTCACGCCACCCAGTAAAAGACCACATTGTGGACCGCTTTCACGGATAATCCCACGCAGTGGAAACCAGGCACATCCAACTCCATCCAATATTGGCATATTGGATTCTCCTCCAGATCTCAACTGTCACAGGGTACGACTTCCTACGGGATCGAGGTACCCCCAACTTTGGATTCAAGGAAAAGGCGGCTGGGCTGGGCTTGTGCTGTTGGAGTGAACTTGCTGGGCGGGGGGGGGGGAGCAAGTGCTGCGTTGCTTGATTGACCCATAGTGCCGTTTCGCAGCCGCGCAGCAGCACAAGTGCTCACCTCTCAAAACTGCTATGTTTGGTTCGCTGGAGACCTGGGTGGAAAGAGCATTCCTGGTCGCTGCGGTACTTGTCTGTCGGTGCTGCGGTTGTGTTTGCTCGAGCTTGCGCTTGGAACCGAACTGTTGATAGCGTTGTGCCACATGTCAAATACCCTTCTTCTCACAAGCACACTTCTTAAACACAAGCCAGAACCCTTATTTATGCAATTGTTCAGCACATTGTTACTTTGGCAGGCTCACCTAAATGTGGGCAGCGTCAAACACAGTCTCATGACTAGTTCTATGTTCCAGCTGCCCTGGTTGCTTTCCCGTCGCTACTTGTTCGAGGATGGTGACAGACGTGGAAGGGAGAGAAATTCTGGGTCCAGAATGTATTTGTTCTTGAGGGTGTCTTAGTTTCGCCCAAGTGGCGAAGCATTGGAGATTTAACTGGAAGCCCATCTTTCTGGCCATGTCTCTCTGTTATGGCAGATCCTGTGACGCCGGCCGGTCTTTTCTCCCCCTTTGTCTGAGGCTGGTGTAACGCCAAAGAGATGTAACCATGTTGACACTAAATTCTCCGTTCTTGCTTGCCCGTCCCAGAACGAGTGAAGAGGACCTTGGATGATGTTCCGCGCTGAGGCCTTGAACAATCATGTTTACTGTTCCAGTCAAAGCCTGGCGGGTCAAGGTGAGCACTTTTCAGACTGCAACGTTGATGGCAAGTTTTTCAGGGCTTGGAATGTGGCCACCGCTGTCGTCGACCAGCTGACGCCATATCAGTTGCAACCTGAGTACCGTAAGGAGCAATGGGATGCCTATGTTAAGAGGGAGCAAACTCTCTTCAAGGACGGCTGAGCAGAACAACGTTCAGCAAGTGTCCAAAAAGGATATGTTGTGATTGTGTGGGGGGGGGGGGGGGCGTGTCAAACTGATAGCCTTCCTTGTTTGGGCCATAGTTTAGTCGGGACCCGCTTTTAAAACGGGCAACCAAGAAGGGGTAGCCCATATTTTGTTTGACAATACCCGTGTGCGTACGTGTGCTGGTGTCCCCAAAGAACAACTTCTGGCAGAAACTGCCACACCACCGATCTCATACATCATAGTGCCTCAACTTCCATACCCTACTGGCCAGTACACTGCCATCACGACAAGGTTTGGCCAGGTTTCTTGAAAGGATCTTCTGAGGCCTTGCTTTTTGGAGTAGCCCCTTGCGCCTGTCTTTTGAAGAGGGGGGCCCCTTTCTGGGTTTGGCTTTAAAGCGAAGATAGTGGAAGCCGCTACTATTTTAGGGCGTTCCTCAAAGGCAAACCCATTTTTGGGAGAGCCAGGTTGGCAGGGATTCCGGAGCAGGGAAGTGCTGCCGTGTTGCGGGGCGTATCTGAGTCTTAGCTGCGGGCTGGGTAGTTCTTGCGCAGCATGCGGTCACGTCATAGGCATGTACCCACATTGCTTCAATGACACATCGGAGTTCACTCACTGAGCCATGATTCGATGTCCAATTTGCATTGACAACACTGGGGAGCAGGAAGTTGTATCATAGAGGGTAGCAAAGGGTCAGCCCATTTCTTACACTGACTCCTCGTCCCGTGCTTACACAGAACACACAAGTGCGGAGGCCCACAGAACACAAGTGGCTTGCACCTCATGACACACACACACACACGCACACACACACACACACAGACACAGACACAGACACAGACACAGACACAGACACAGACACAGACACAGACACAGACACAGACACACAGACACAGACACAGACACAGACACAGACACAGACACAGACACAGACACAGACACAGACACAGACACAGACACAGACACAGACACAGACACAGACACAGACACAGACACAGACACAGACACAGACACAGACACAGACACAGACACAGACACAGACACAGACACAGACACAGACACAGACACAGACACAGACACAGACACAGACACAGACACAGACACAGACACAGACACAGACACAGACACAGACACAGACACAGACACAGACACACACACA